TCAGTAATTTAGGTTAAAGTAATTGGACAAAAACCAGTTAATATGAATAGTGCATATATTTCATCTTGGTTCGTGTCCTTATAACTGATATTTGTGTTAATCAATTTTGAACGAATCACGTCCAGTTTCGAGAGTTTTTGTGAGTTTGGCGATTTTATTCATAATTTCTGGGGTGAAAAGCAAACGCCACATTTGGTCAGCAACAGGTTTTAAACCTAGATTAAATGACGGACCTTGTAATTTTAACTTTAAATCCTCACCTGTTAACTCTGAATATTGTAATCGTTAAATTTTAATTTTACCAGCTTTGTTAACTTTTATTCCTTCAGTATTCGACTTTCAATTTTAATTGTTTTTTCAATATTCTTTATTTTAATTCTTTAAACTTTTAAGAATTTTTTTTTGTTAGTTTAACTGATCGTTGTTTTTAAATGGTAGTCATGACAAGAAACCGATGGACGTTTACTATTACTTCAGCAATTACTAGACAAACGCTCTAAACTTCCAATTAATTACAAAAGACTCATATACATGATTATAATAAGGCCTATTTGGACTTACGGAGTTGAGCTGTGGGGCTCCACTAAACCATTGAATTCCTCTCATATCCAATGCAATCCAAAATCCTTAGCAAACTCCTCTATGCTCCCTACTTTGTTACAAATAAAACCATCCATAATGATCTTAATGTTTCTTATTTTTCAGATCTGGCCCAATCCAGATACCTATCCTTCCATAATAAACTTCAGAATCATCCCAACCCTCTCGTTTCTAACCTTGCTTCTTCAATTCCTTATAACCCTCCGATGCGTCTGAAAAGAAGATGACCTAATGTAGACATATCATCAGAGTGCTACCATTGGGTAGTTACTCAACAAGTGTTTTCACGTCATTATACCCATATGTTCAAATTTTCTAAATGTATTTCTATAATACAGTTGTAAATATCATTAAGAAATAATAAAAAAAAATGGTAGTCAATAACTTTTCTTCTTGTAATTTTAAAAGATTTGACACGTTCTGATTATTTTTTTGAAAATCCTTGCAAAACGTTAGAATTGACAGAGTTAAACTGTATCCCTGAAGGAAAAGTTGTTGGTAGAAGAAAAAACAAAAACATTTAATTTTTTAAATTTAATATTTGTTTTTTAAATTTAACCAAATATTTTGAAATTGAAAGACCGTAAAACGGTCAAAGTAATTAGTACTTTGGTTCAATATTATATTCCATAAGCACTTAACATAATAGTTCATATGTAACAAGGGGAGCTATGTAAGCTCAAAGGGTACACTAATTGATCCTGTCTAGCCCATGTATATCTATGCTTCATCAAAGCATAGTACATTATGCCTATTACTACTTACCTAATAGTACTTATACCTATGACGTAGTAGTGGTATTGATTATTATTAATGGATATCATCTTTGATGAAAGTTAACGAAGTTTTGTTATGTTAACTTATTTTTAATTTAAATTATTTTATTTAAAGATATTAATTTATGAATGTGTAGATATTTAACTCCAAAATTTTGAATTAAATGTTAAATATTGAGATTAAGCATTATTGCGACATACACTGACGAAACCTCTGTTTTAGAACTCGTTGAAAATAAAAACATCCTTTAAAAACATAGTTCCAAATTTTCCTAAAATTGTGCACATACCTTTTTATATTTTTTTTACATACATTTATATAATTTTGAATTTATAGGAGGAATAATTGTTGACTTTCAAAAAAAAAGTTTTGAAATGGAGGAAAGCGTTTCGCAAGTCATTGATTAAAAGAAAATGAAATAAGTCAAAGAGTGTAAACATTTCCACTTACTAACTTGTTTTAAATTATATGTACGGGGTGGTTAGGGGTGTCCCATAAGTAGAGGAAAATATTTAAAAGCCAGATAGAAGATATCAAGATCTACAAAAGACAGTGGAGGCTGAGCAGAGGGGCTTTAATCACACCTACATGCCTCGAGTGGAGAATCTGGCCATTGCCAAAACTTGCCAAAATATACTTGTGAATAAGTTTAATAAAATAAAAACTAAAAATAAGTAAATAATAATAATAATAAAAGTACATAATAAAATTTAATGAACTTCAAGATAAGTAAATTAAAGTAAATCTTAAACACAGGCATACCTATATAGACTATTTGCAATCACTAAAGGAATTCCAAACCAGGATTTTCCTTTTGCTGTGGAGGGAAAACCAGGACTTCAAAAGATCTTTGTGCTACTCTCTCAACTATTACTGAAAGCCAGTTGAAATTGAACGAGAGATTTAATATTATATTATAAAAAAAAAATGTTTTACGTTTGTAATAGCTAATGAAGAAACCTACTGTACCATTTTTTTTTACCGGATTATGATTACATCATGTTTGTTGTATCAGGAATGCTTTGCTATAATGGATCAGTAACCAGAAAAGTAAATCAAACTGTAGGTAAACTGTAATAATTCTTCGACAGGATCTCATAAATATTGGTTACAGTCACTATAACCACTTTTACGAGTGTAAAATATTCTCACTTATAAATACGCATCAATTTATATGACAGAAATCTGGGATAAAACATCATTTCATAAACACTTTAAACACTTTTAAAAAATAAAAATAATGATTTTAGAAATATTTTTCATGTAAAGTGTTTATTAAATGATGTTTTTATCCCAGATTTCTGTCATATAAATTGATGCGTATTTATAAGTAAGAAACTTTTACACTCGTAAAAGTGGTTATAGTGACTGTAACCAATATTTACGAGATCCTGTCGAAGTATTATTACAGTTTACCAACAGTTTGATTGATTTTTCTGGCTACTGATCCATTATAGCAAAGCATTCCTGATACAACAAAGATGATGTAATCATAATCCATTAGCTACTACAAACGAAAAACAGTTGTTTTTTTAAAATATAAAATAGTATTAAATCTCTCGTTCAATCTCAACTGGCTTTTAGTACTAGTTGAGAGAGTAGCACAAGGATCTCTTGAAGTCTTGGTTTTCCCTCCACACAGAATAAGGAAAATCCTTGTTGGGAATTCGTATGGAAGATTATAAATAGTGTATATATGTATGCCTCCGTTTAAAATTGACTTATCTTGAAGTTTATTAAATTTTATTTATTATATACTTATTTTTAGTTTGTTTTTTTTATTAAACTTACTCACAAGTATATATTGGAGTTTTGGCAATGGCTAGATTCTCCACTGAATGTATGTGTGATATAGCACCTCTGCTCAGCCTCTAATGGTCCTTGATACCATTAATGCAGCTGAGTGAGAGGCGCTGGGATCTCCTGCCTTTCCTTCCACGAGTGGGTGGAAGGCTTGGCTTAGAGATCTTGACTGATGATTTTTTTTTTTTTTATATATTGTATAGAAGCATGTGTGTATTTGGGTGGTCATTTTCATTAGCTTAGTTTTTTTTTTGTTTATTTTAGTTTATATATATATTTACTTTTAGTATTATTATGTATTGTTGGTTTTTATTACTGTAAATGTGATTTTTGAACACTATTATAAATAGTGTAATTACGACTAACAGAATCTTTCGACAAAAGACACTCTCTGGCAAGTTCGCTAGTACTTGTATACGGATTCGACTCAACATCTTCCTGCAGAACCTCATTAACATTAATGGTCACCCGGAGGCCTTCTTTCTTTCCAAAATATATCTCCACTGCTAAATTTATCAAACCAACGCGGCGCAGTGCGCTGGTCAAGGATACCTTCACTTTCATATTTAATAATTTCTCGAGTTGTTTGCTTCAGCGACTGTGATTTTTTTTCCAGTAATGCCTTAGAATATCGAGAATTTCGTAGGATACTGTCATGTTTCTTATTTAAAACAAATAACTAAACTGATTTTTTTTTTTAAAGTCGAGTGGGATTAAACAAGTTTAGAGAATGCCATAAAGGAATTATTAAGTAGTGTAAGTATTAAATAGGATTAAAATATTTACAGCCGTTTGAAATCTTGAATTTGATAAAACGATCATTTTTTTTTATACCCCCTATTAATATATTAGGTAACTGTGCTTTGAATATATTATTATTTTAAATCCTCTATTGTACCAGTACAATATTGTATAAATTTTCAGACCAATTGCAATGTCGTAAAATGTTATGTACTTTTCATAGTTAATTTTTTGTATTATATATTCAATAAATCATTATTAATAATAATACTTAGGACATTAATCAATATTCCTGGAGGATATTCGTAGTTTAATATTTTCAACGAGCGATACATGGACATTCACCATATTATCCTTTAATTACCTAATTGACCATTAGGAAAAGTTAAATAATAATTCCGTTGAACTATAAAAATTAAATAAAATATAGCAGGGGCTGCAACGTTTGTGAAACTTTTCAGGAAAAAATATCCATTTCTACAATTTCTGAAAAAGTTGTAAGAAAAATGGTTTCAAAATAATAGTTCTCATGGAACTTTTTTCATAACTAAATTCCAGGTTTATCGTAAAAGTTTAACTTTTATTTATTTAAATTCTTGAAAGAAGTACTGTTAAATTAAAAAAAAATTAACAGTTATTATATTAGAGTTCTATGTCTTAAATGAATTACACATGATTCTAATGTATCGTTTGTTTGAGATACTATGATTAAAAGTCATTTTTTTGGTCGACAACATTCTCAAATAATTATGTTTTTTTTTTTTTTTGTTTTTTTAAAAATAAAATTTCAGTAAAACCATTACTTGAAATAGTAGTTCAGGAAATAGTTTTAGTTCCAAAAGAACTGAAAAATTATCTACAGTGAAAATTCCGGTGGTACTGAAACGTTTTAAAAATAAAAGTATTTTTCCCGTTTCAAGCCCTGAAATATACCTTACCAAATTTAATTTTTTTTTTTTTCTCATTGGTCTAAGACTTCCATTGAAGTCCTATACTGAAATAAAATTTTACTTCCGTACAAATTTATACCCATACATATGTATCAGAAGTTCACGAATTAGATGCAATGTACTTTGAAAATGTCTAATCGGGTACGCTCTAAACTATTTGTCAAGAGAATTTATATTGGCTAATTACCCTCGCAATTAGATCATCAATTAGGTCTGGGTAGGACGGGGTGTTTTATTTGACTAAGGTTAGCTCCACCAATTAAATGGATTAATACATTAATTAGCTTTACCTAACATTACTTGCTTGTTTTTTTTTGTTCTTTTGTATTTAACTCGCTTCTTTATTCATTACTCGTAATTTATTTGTATTTTAAATTAATTGTTTAAAAAAAAAATCGTATATTAAATCACAAATCGATGTAACTCAGGTATTAAAATGTAAAAATTTATTTAATGACAAGAACTAATTTTGACAGTTACAGATCATGATTGAAATTAGTAATTACGAATCTATCAATCACGAATCGTGTGATTTATCTCAAATCAATCATTTGTTGTAGCGATATCTTATCAATATTAATTATTTCTGAAACTGAAATATGGGTAACTAATTGTATATTAATTATTTTTGGTAAATTAGTAAATACACAAATAGGACATGGTTTTAATTATTGGGATGTGATTGTAAAATGAATCATGATTGATACATAAATTATTTCTTGTACTATAGGAAATTGAAAAGAAGATTGATTGGAGAATAATTCCATATAGATCACTAATAAGAGCAAACTTAACACACGCCTGCCCCATTAGGAGCTTCTCAGATAGAACTAACATGAAATAACTACACGTATTCCAAAACTAATACAGAATAATTGTCGATAACTATCCCTATCATACCAAAAGATCTAAGATGCACTCCTCATTAAATATTACAAGAACTAATTTACAACACATCCTTACCCTCCTTTCAATCGCAACAACACTCGTCAAAGCCATTTATAGCGGAAATAGGTAAAACAAAGAACACCAACATCCACTAACGGATCCAGGATTTAATTTTGAGGGGGTGGCTTCCGCCCGAAAGCTTTTTTTCATAAAAATAACGGTAATTACTTTGGAAAAAAACACTAACTTTCTATATGAAATGGTGTTTAAATGATTCCTAAAGTTCTTTTAAATGCAATTACACGAACAATAATACTTTAAGAGATAATTTTTTTATGTTTTTTTCCATAAAACATGGTTATATTTTACCATTTGGGGGGGGGGCTTCAACCCCAAAGCTCCCTCCGTAGATACGTCCGTGTCACCATCCAAATACATTTGTTTTATTGCAAAGAGCATTTGTTTTTTCCTTTCCTAATATTTTTTATTGAATTAGTACTGCCCAAAATCGGTCAGGCACGTTGCAGGACTAAGGCCTAAATTGGAAACAAAAAAAAAAAAAGCTTGTTTGTGGGTAAAAATTAAGGAAATATTGTTACTAATACTAGACAATCTTAGTTACTACGTGTAGTAGCATTGGTAGAACAAGTATACTTTTCCATTTAACTCTTTCAATTTTTCATTCGTGGTTTAATTAGTTTTCCCGATTCAAAAAAAATACAATAATATCTCTATAGTATGTGGTGGTAACATATTTAAAAGGTTATTAAATTTCCGGCAAAACTAAAAAAAAATAATCGTCTAAGTAGGACCAGTTTTAGTTTCAGTGTACTAAATTTCATGCACTGATTTTAATTATTGTTCACTTATCCGTTTACATTGCTTAAGTTCATGAAAGAAACCGTACACTAATGATTTCTCTGATCGGTTATCAGGAAAATTAGTCTAATTCAATTGTCTTATGTTTAATAAATATATTTATATTTGAAAAAGAATTTTAAAATCAGTAGAAAAGTCATGGTATAGATTGTATTTACTCTACAACTCTTCCATTCCTAGATGGTGACCTTTCACTATCTTTCATTACAATGCCTTCAAGATTTTCTCAAGTTAGGTTTATTGATTCGGTTGGTCTTCACTATGTTTATGTCATTAAAACATCTAAATTTACCTATTCTGTGGCGTTTTTCTAAGATCTAAAGTAACATGTTTAATAAATAACAATAAGCTAATAGGAACTCCATGACTCTTGCAAGATTCTTGTTCAAGACCAAGACTGAGTGCGCAAGAGCTATACTCGTCTTGGTTTTGCATTGGGCAACACTATATTGTTTGCATATAAATGTATTATACAAGGGTACACACCCGAAGCCATTGTTAATATTGTAGTTGTAAAGATATGAAATAACAAATTTTCTAAAAAAAAACATTGTTCTCCCATATTTATTTTGCAAAACACTTCATCGATAGCAGAATTAAAGGTGATTAAATCGATTATTTTCTTTCTTTCACAGGAGAAATTCAGAATTGAAGCAGAGCTGGCCGTGAACCGTGCCAACATGTTGACAAGGCTTTGGAAGTACGCTCCGTTGGAGGTGATGCACTCAGAATATCTTCTGCACGCTGGGGTATTGAGCATGGTCGAATTCGACGAAGACATATTTGCTGCTGGAAACTGCTACGACGCCCATCAATACAAGAACTTCACCCTGTACTGCCCGTACGCCTACCGACTACCAGAGGGTCCGATACTCGTCAAAGATCTCGCAGTGGAGTACAAGTACCTCAGCAACACGAGTGAATGGTTTTACATTGCCAGGAAGAACGCTGAGAGGGTCATCATTAACTACAATCAGTTCAGCCGAGGTAAGTGACATTATTTTTCAGTTTTAATTTTGCTTGCAGAGTAATTGTTTATTTACTTATTATTGCTATAAAAAATATAATTAAACTTTTAGAAAATTCGTTTTAAAAAGTGTAACAGTTTCTCAAGTCATATGCTGAAAATTGTATAACAACTTGCAAGAAATCACTCTCAACTGAATACATTTAGTAATTTTTGAGTTTATAGAAAGTTCAAATTCGCTGAATCTTGGTCAGATGAGAAAGATATGAAACCCAGACTTTATTATTTATTTTGATTATCTTAAACTTGTTTTAATAAACAATAAATAACGAGAATCGAGTAACAGGAATGGTTATATTGGTTTGGAAATGAAAAGAAAGTTATCAAATTTATTATTAGTTGTTACTCCATCAAGTCTTCCCTTTTAATTTTGCAACTTTTTTTTAAATGATAAAGAAGTTCACCAATAAAATATTAAAATAAAAAAATTATTTATTTTACAATAATTCCATCTGACGCAAGGGGTAGTTAGAAGACCACACCAGACATTTGAAGAAAAGGTATGTTGGTGATGTCCAACAGCAGTCATGTGAGGATTTTCTTCAGCCCAAGTATGGGTGTTTCGAAAATTAAGAATCCCGTTTCTTGTAAAGCAAGATTCATCAGTAACCAAAATGCACTTCAGGAAGTCAGGATCTCGTGTGCATTGTCGAATTAACCACTGGAAGAAATTTCTGTGCTTGTTATAATCTTGTGGTAACAAATCTTGCCTACTCGATACGTGAAATGGATACAATCAAGGGCAAAGTTATCCATTCATATTTTTTTTTCTGTTGGAATTACATATCATGTAGATGTTTTACCGCGTTAACAAGCCTGCTCCATCCCTGCCTCTTTCTACCCCATCTTAGTCTATTCCTTTCCAGTTATCTGCATGCAGCTCTTTTGCATCTTAGTTGTTCTATTTATCCATCTACTTTTTGGCCTTCCATGTGATCTTTTGCCTTCTATTGAGGCATTGATCGTTATGTAGAACCTTCCAGATGGGACCTTCGTGGCTTCATATCATGGGATATTGATTGATCAGTTTCTGTAAGCAGTTTTTTATTGGTGTTTCTTCTCCATTTGTAAGTACTCTGATCCCAGGTCGCTCCGGTTACTCGCGGAGGGTTTTACTCTCAAATCTTTCAATAATTTTATCTGGAGAGCTTGTTATAGTGTCCAGGTATCACAGCCATATATCAGAATTGGCTTCATTAGAGTATTGTACACACTTAATTTGTGTTTCTTGATATTTTTCGGGATTTCAATCCTATGAATGGGAGGAGAAGGCTCGGTTTGCGCCTGTTATACGCTGGTCTTAATAATAATTAAAATAATGAAATAATGGATAAATAAATTTCAGTATTTTTACATATTTGCACCAGGGAGCAATATAAATATTTTTTTATTTTTGTGTGATATAATATTCTGTCTCATGGAAAATAATTAAACTTAATTAAGACTACATGTACAGAAAAGATAAAATAAACAGAAGGAAAAGGACTACTATATAATAATAAAAAGTAATATAAATAATTGAGATCGAAATATTGGGTTGGAAAATAAGTCCTTTCGGATTTTCAGGGTGAAATAAAACTCAATGTATTATAGACAGAAAGTTTATTTTAATCTACAATATATACAATATAGACCATTATTTAATATGACTTTTTCCCAACTTTCCACTAACTGCATAATGCCATGTTTATAGAATGGCTGGAGTTTATTGTTTAAAAAAAAGTTTTTTTTTTTTTTATGTCTCCTTCCTTTTGGAACTTCTTTCCATTCAGGGAGTTTTGCAGAGACCGGAATAAGTGGTAATCACTTGGAGCTAGGTTTGGAGAATAGGGATGGTGGGACAAAAGGTCCCACCCAAGGCTCAATAATTTATTGAGAGTGATCAATGAGGTGTGCTCCCTATCGTTGTCTTGGTTGAACACAACACCCTTCCGATCATTCATAACTGTTCAGGATGTTCTCCAAATTCGATGTTACTATATCTATTGGAAAGCTGTATTATTATTGCTCTTCAAAGTCCTACTGATGTTTTTTTTTTATTTAATGCCTACATAAGGATAAATAAATAAAAATTCCTTATAGGTTTTTAATTTTTATTTCAATTTGTGGTTTGTTTACGAAGGCCCTGTTGATGTCATTTTGTGTAGTTAATGTGGCCTAAATTCCTGCTGAATTTCTTGTAGGTAGCTAAATTCCTATTGAAGTTATAACATTTTTTGTGATTTTAGAAAAAAAAAATAATGTGAGGGACCTAAACGTTAAGCCTATAAACATAGCTGAGCTTGTGCAAATGGTTTTCTATGCTTGTGTGCGACACATTTAGGACCATAGCAATCTCTCGCACTGATTGGGTAAGATTTCGATCAACAATGGCCTCACCATTACTCGTTCCAATTTCATATGAGCGACCAGACCGTTGAACATTAATGATGTCAAAATTTCCTGAATGAAATTTAGCAAACCAATTTTCACAGGTTCGTTCGGTTAAGGCATCATCCGCATAAACACTGCAAATTTTTCTGTGAGCTTTTGATGTACGCTTATGTTTTTTAAAATATGCCAATAATGATTGATATTTTCTTCCCTATTCACAGTGCAATAGCAAACACAACTTATATTATATTTTAAAAAAGACTTAACAGATACAGTTGTTGACATATTACAAACAGGATTAACAATCCACCTTAGCGATTAATTCATCAGATAAGAAAATGTATCATAGTGACATAAAAACACACAGAAAAACCGAAATGACTTATTTGCCAACCCAATATTACCATTTGAACACTGGCCGATATGCTGTGCGAATTATTTCCCTAGACATGGGGAATAGCAGAAAAATAAAAACTTATAATTATTATTATTAGCCGAAACACGGAAATTTTAAATGGTTACCGTTGAGCATTTTGTAAAAAGGTTCATTAACGATTCAGCTTTGACCAGCGACATGTTGTTGAGGGCAGAACCAGGGACCAACAACAAATGCCCCTTGTTTTCTCATGAAAAGTTCAATTTGCATAACAAAATAAAAGTCCAATCTTACTTTCAATTCAGAAACGTTGAGTAATGCTTTAACCTTTTTGTTTTATTTAATTAATTCCGATTTAGTAAAATTTTAGAAAAAATCTGTTTACAGTTAATATCGATATTTTATCGTATTCATTTTTCTCCTTAATGTCATTTCGCATTTCTCATCATTGTTCAAAATAAAACCTTTCTTAAACGACTGTTTCCAATACAATCCAGACTCATCATTGTACCCGTGATCATTTATAAAGGAGTTTATTTATAATGAGACGTCGAGTCGTCCGGTAACAATTCTTTTCAGAACGATCCCTTATTGATAAATATTTGAGAAGATTATTTATTAAATAAAGAAATTGTAAATTAGTTCAATCAACACAATATCATTTTGTTGCTTGTTATAAATCCACTTTATACTAACAAGATTAATAAAAAGTTTATCGCATGGCTAAAGTAAATGATTACTATAAACTTTGTTTGCACAAGCAAACAAAAAGCTTCGAAAAAAAAGGCAGACACAAATTAATTCTATCATTGGAATGCTTTTTACATTTTTTTTTCTTTTTTAAGAATTTTAGAATTTTAATTAGAATAATAATAAAAAGAAATGTAATTCAAGAAATAAAAAAAAATCTACTACGGAAATCGGGAATCCAAATGGAAATATATTTTCTCATATACTTTAAAACATCGATAGATTTTTAGGGAAATCGACTTAAACGAATTTATGAACTTGGTGGAGTAGTCGGGGTGTTTTCTTCTTCAGTAGGAAACTCAAGACTTTCGGATGTTGACATTCACCGACACATGGAACGAAATCGAATTTGCCAAGAGCCGTAATGTGTAGTGGAGGGCACACGAGAACCTTAGATGTCAATTTACCTAACTACCAACGAAGTTCTTTAAGAGAATATGCAAGCGCACTATCTTAGAGTGAATAGACTTTTCCGATTCATGTAGTTTCTTTTAATAAATAATTTTTTATTTATTTTAACCTTAAATGTTTTTCAAGTATTGACAGTTAATATTCAGCACATATGACCACGATCTTACGCATGATATGGGAGACTGGGTACGGTTGTGACAATTTTCATTTAATCGTCCTCAATTCTGTTAGTATACCAATTGGATAGAAGAAAGGTGTTTGTAATAGTAAAGTGAACACTTGACTAAGTATAAATACTAAAATTTTGTCGGTAAGTACAATGGTTTTCTCATAAGAAAAAAATAGAATAAAAAAGGAAAATGTCACAACCAAACCCACCCCGAAGATAGTTGTGACAGTGCTTGGGATCGGCGACAGTTTAAAAAAAAAAAAAAAAATAGTCCAAAATCACTTGTATTGTACTATATAATATTGTAGACCGATTTAATCGCATAGAACTAATAAATCATAAATATTTGTGTAAGAATAAACTTTCTGTGTTCCTCGAGCGTTTAATGGATATCTGCAAAAAAAAAAAAAAAACTTATGTCACAACTGTACCCAAGTTGTGTCAAAAAAAAAAAATCTGGTGCGGTGCGTCACACAACTTTCATTTACAGCCCTCTTCTTAGCAGAAATAATTATTTTCAGACAAAGGGGAAGAGAAAGTAAAAATTATTGAAGCTATATTCATTTATATTTCATTATGGGAATTTTTATTGGTGCAAGTACCATAATAATAATATATACAAGTTTTAATATTTATATCGCTGTAATCTATACAATTATATATTAAATAATATTAACAATAGCATTTATGAAAACTGCATTTTCATATTTATAAAATATTGTCAGAGTCCGTATTATATTAAGCTCATGTTAGGTATGGAAGCGTGTTCTAATCTTTCGGGCAAGCTCGGATCCGCTCGTATTCCTTTGGTTCCTCAATTACAACTATTCTCCGTTACGATCTATTATTTCTCCTTTAGTTAGTAATCAAATTTTTTCATATTGTATAT